CTTTGCCACTCGCCCTGAACATGGGAAGTGTTAGTGCGTACACGGGGCAGTCGATGCCCAAAAACTTTGAACCCAAACGTATCTGTGATCTCAAAACGCTCACAGCCCCTTTTGACCCCGTTGAATCAGGCGACATGTTACCGCCCAAGCTGCAATGCAACTCCCAGAAGCAATTGCCGAGGAGATTTTGGAGAATCCCTAGACACACCACGTGCATCAAATCTATTAGTATGTACTTGAACCGCATGCCTGGGAAATTGAAGATCTCACTCCTGAACCCACTGTGAAGCATGCACATGAAAAGGGCCTTATCATCATCATATTCGTGCCCTCTCCAAGGGGCATGGCGGTCAGCCCTGCGGAAATCAAAGTCGGTATTGTTATTGGCAGGGCATCGCCAGCATACGTGGCCGTGCCCCCCTTCCCCTTTCCACCCCGATAATCCAAAAGCTTGTTTGTACCAGGCCCAGTCCCCCTTTATCTGAATGCACGCGGCCTTGCAATTCAAAACGCAGCCCGCCTGGTGTATTCGATCCCTGTCGCCAACACCCGAGCTCTTGTTATACGGATTCTGGTCGTGGCGCACGCGTGGAAAATGCCCATCTGCCAGTGCGCGGAGGCTCCACCCCATCACTCGCCACGCCTCTTCGAAAGTGTGACGGCCGTAGCAGCCGCACTGGCATACGTACCTTGGAAGGTGTTGTCAGACAAATCTGTCGCTGATTGCTTCGGCGCCCGAAATGAGCGCGGACAAAATGAGTGCGGTGCCCAACAACAAATGTCGTCCCAAACCAACAGCGGCCGTTGTTGGACAGGCCTTCTCCTGTCTCGAATGGACACAGGCCGCGGCTGCGCGGGCAGGAACTGCTGTTGGGCATCGTGCACATTCTTTCCGCATCCATTTCGTGCGTACAGATCTGTGGTTTATTTGCAACTTGTGTCCTACCCCATCCACTTCCAGTCATCCGCCAGCTTCGCACCCCGCATCCTCCTTTGCGCTCCGTCGCTTCACTGCTGGGGCACTGTATGTATTGAGTTGCGTTGCGTTTGCTGGATCAGTTGCGGTGCAGTTCATTCGTTCTCACGCATCGCGATTCGCTGAATAATGTGTAGTCTGTTTCTGTAATCTGTAATGTTTCTGTATTCTGTAGTTTTTTCTGTAATCTGTTGTTTTTTTCTGTAGTCTGTAGCTGTTGTTCTGTAATATGTCGTTTTGTTGTTTTCTGAAGTTCGATTTGATTGCACTTGCTTGCATTGCATTTGCAGCGTTGTCTGTTAACAGAAATTACTTATGTAATTAAGTTGATTGCGTCTGATCGCTTGCGCTATTGCATATATTTCTTCCCTTTGGGCCCTCCCACCCCCCGCCCGTTGCCCAGGCGACGACGCAACGACTCCAGTTGCGACAGCCCCGACGGCAGCGCGGGCCGAAGGGACGAGGCATCGATGATAGTTTTGATGAGCTTCGATTTCCCAGGGTACCGTTTTGGGAAACAACAAAACCAATGCCGTCGATGCCGATCTTTGCCTGACAACACCTGCCACGTGAGAAGATAGACGCTGTCTCGCTTCGAGTACGGGGCGCTATCACCCCAAAGCCCCAAACTTGCAAACAGCTCGGTCGTCGTATCCCGAGGTGGCTTGAGCGTTTCGCCCCACTCTTTCAGTACATCGTTTAGTGGGCTGACCTCGGGGGCAAACGTACACCATTCATGTACGGTACTAGGCTGAACCATGTGGTGTAACATCTCGTGTGGTAACAGAAAATTCGTCAACATCGTGGCCTTTTGATTTCTCAGGGGGTCCCATGAGGGCAACGCCGCTTGGTAAACTGGTGGGAGATCGATTTTGTCCAGCCGCCTCATTAGCCCTCTATAGGCATTGCCTCCTTTCTGGACCGAGCCCCAATCTTGGACAACACGAGGCGTCTCGGTGGGTGCATCGCTGCAAAATGCCTGCGATGCTTCAACTACATCAGTCGCGCTGAACCCATGTTTGGCAAACTTCCTCTTCAGGAATTGCTCTGTATGGCAGCAGTCGGCGCTAGCGCACTTGTCGGAGAATGCCTCCTGGCAGCATCCATCTTCGGGGCGATGCCAATTTAAAACGCATCCAGCATTTCGGCCCCCCCCCCCCCCTTCACCCCATGCCCCAACCGCCGTCGCCCCCCATCGAACCCCAATCCACCCGCCCGCATTCTGGACCCAGGGCCCAAACAAAAAAGAAGGATCATCCTCGTGGCATCGCCCCGACAAAGGATCTGTTGCCGATTGAGTCCGAGAAGAGCTTCTTGCGAATGCCGCCGAGGACCATTCAGCGATCGCGCTAACCCCACGCGCGATCTGCAAAGCCCCGGGCCTAAAAAGAAGCTCGCAAGGCCAGTCGGCTGGGAACGAGGGGGGAAGGGGGTGCTGGAGGAGCGAGAAGTGGAAAGATGGCAGGGCGGTCTTGCATAGGACATCTGAAGACCTCAGATCAGATATATTGCACGCGTTCACGGGGGAGTCGGGTTCCAAGGGGCCATGGTTCCATGTTTTGGGGGTGCCTGCCGTCTCCCCAGGGGGCGCTTCAGGTGTTTCTGGCTTCTGTCCTCACGCGTGGACCTCAAGGGGAGGCGATGAGACCGTCGTGCCCTATGAGGCCCTCGGGGGTAACCTTCTGGGGCCATGTTGGTCATTCGAGTTTACCAGACATCAAATATCAATGGTTATTATGTCCGCAAGGTTTCATTGAGGGACGTGTCGAAACAATGCTCTGCTCACAAATTTGTTTTTTTTTTTTGTTCTGGCAACCGTGGGAACAGAGGCAGTGCCAGAAAATCAGCCAGGGGCATTATGAACATCACTTCCTTTCCTCATCCATCCCTCGCTCGGTCGTTTTCGTTTTCATTGTCAGTATACCTCCCCCCGACCAGCCAGGCTCAAGCGAACTTGAAACTGCGCGCAACACGTCGTGCGCTGCGCCTAGCGGCCAGGCAGATGGCGATGGGCTCGACGCTGCGCCACGCAGCTCAAGACGAATCCTTCATCTTGCGCATCTCGTCCAACGTAGATTTCTTGAATGTGTTGAACTTTGTAGTCTCCTGCTCGAGGTCATGTTTGAGCTTGTCGGACATGGTGGTGTAGACCTGCGGGTCGTTCGAAGACTGGCCCTTGACAGACTTTGCCTCCGTGTAGATGCCGTTGGCGAATTTCTCCATGCTGAGTCGGTGCTGGTTCCCCTGCTCTGCGAGGTAATCGCCCATCGACTGCGGGAAGCCCTTCCTCTGAAGTTTCAGCTGGTACCCTGGGATCTCTCTCAGCTCGTCGTCCACGCTTCGGGCCCACGCTTTTGCTTTCTTGATCTGCTCGTCGAGAAGTTTCTTGGCCTCGTCGACCTTTGCCTTCATCGGGTTCTGCTGTGCCTCCTGCTTCTCCTTCTCGGCCTTGGCTGCGGCCCGTTCCTTCCTCTCGCGGTCCTTCTTCTCCTTCTCGGATTCCCCTGCCGCGCCGTCGGACAAGGGCAAGGCGCTGGAGATCGCCTGGCCCATCATGGCGCCCTGGATCTGCTTGTAGGTATCTGCGTTGACGTCCACGCTCGAACTCACGCTCGACGAGTTGTTCTTGAACTCGATCTCCCTGAGGATCTCCTTCGAGAACTTGTACTCCCTCACGCCCGCCTCTGCCAGCAACCCGTTGCGATGCGGTCTGCAATCCAAAGACTTTACGATGATAGATGCATGCAGCGGCGAATTGAGGTACATTGGCCCTCCGAGCTGCTCCTCTGTCAGCCACTCGGTGAGGCTCTCCGACTCGTCCCTGCTGCCGACGGTGGTGTCTTGCCCTGCGGAGCAACCTCCGCTTGTTGGGTCAATGATGAATTTGGTCAACCACTCTCGCTTGCGCTCGATGGAAGCGCGGCCCGTGGTATCTTTCACGTACTTAGCGTGCAGCATAGGACACTTTGACTTTAAAGTCGTTCCCAATGAGCTGAACAGGCTCTTGAGCGAGTCATCATCAAGAACATCCTTGAGCTTGTCAGCGGTCAAATCCTCGAGCTTGGAGATGCCTGCTTTCTTCAGCGAGTCCCTCGCCGCAACCACGGGCTTCGGGACCTTCATGCCCTTGAGCTTCTCGAGTTCACTAAGCTCACCAGCCGTGATCTCGGCCTTGACGGGGTGCAGCTCGACGGGCGGGGCAGCCATGCTCTTGCTCGCTGTCGGCGCCTTGCTCTTGGCCACGAGCAGGGCCTTCGCCTTGGCCTTGGGCGCGGCCCTCTCCTCGTCTGCAGGTGGCTCGACTGGCGCAGCCATTGCCTTGCCCTTGGCGGGCTTCGGCGCCTGCCCCTTTGCTTTTGCCTTTGCTTTTCCCTTGGGTTGTGGCTTGGCTGCCAGCGGAGCGTCGCTGCTGTCGTCGTCCTGCTTCGTTCTCTTTGGCGGGCACGCAATGGCCGTGGCAGCCGGCCTTTTGCGGGCACTGGCGGGCGACTCGCTATCTGCCATCGCTGCGGGCAAGCCGTCATCAGCGCCCGAGCGCGGCATGAGTCTGACTGCTCGCTCAGTGGAGCAAGCGAGATCGAGAACTGTTTCGGCAGAACTCGAGCCAAAACAGCTACGCCACGGAGGAGCCGGTTTCTGGCATATCTCTGCCATCGCTGCGTCCGTTGGCCCGAACTTCCAAAAAAAAATCTCCTCCCTCCCAGTCGTTGCGGTTTCTGTTGTGTTTTCTGTATTCTGTAGTTTTTTCTGTATTTTGATATGCTTCAAATATCCATGAAAACCATATATATATATATGTTTATATTGGTTTTCATCAACTACAGAATACAGAAAACAATACAGATTACAGAAAAAAACTACAGATTACAGAATTTTCTCAGACAGCTCGATCGCGCTGGAATTTAACCTTCCTGGGGGATTCGTGCTTCCCAGGAATGCAACGATCAAATGTGCTCGCTGGTTTGTCCAACTCCGAACTTCCGCATCCCCAAAGGCCCTGGCACTCCACTCCCCCGAAGAGAAGCCCCCCTCCCAAGGGCGGGGCGCCCATCATAATTCAGGAAACGCGCGGGACGGGCGAAGGGCCCGAACGGACATCTCGGCGACGAGGGGGGGGCGCGGAGGCACGGACGAATCGGTAGCCACGGCAAAAAAAAAAACAGTAGACGGTTGCCCCCCTCCCCCCATTCTATGCGATACCTAATGTTGTCGCTCGAACTTGCCCACTGTTGACGGGGGGGTTTGGAATCTTCTGGGAGACCTGCGTTCCCCAGGATCGGTGGTTCCAATAAGAGTTCAACGTGCATCCAACGCGAGCTGACGGCCTCAGAGGACATCTGAAGAATAATTCTGATGAGCAGGATTCGAATGGCAAGAGTTTGGGGCGTTTGGGGTGGTAACAGGAGAGACAAGGGGAGCGGGCGTTGAGATGGCGATGGATGTCGATGCGTTAGATCTGGCAGAGCAGCAGCGGCACCAGTTGGAACCTCAAAGCAAGCAAACAACATTGGATGAGCTCCGACGGCTACGCACTGTAATGCGTGAGCCAACGCTCTTTCGATTTCCTGCACAAGGTCCTGACCCATTCAACAGCCTTGGGCTGGCCTTTGAGAGGCCCGCGCAGGGCAGAAACAACTTTGAGCACATCCTTCATGATATGCTCTGTGATCTTTGCAGGGTGCGGGGATTCGTTGGTGGTGACCTGTACCACTTGCGCCTTGTCGGATGGGCTCAGCACGAGAAGCGTCGACGAACCGTGGTGGCCAGCTGCGACCCTGATCCGACAGTCGCCCCCCGTGCCCCCATCGGATTCGGAAGGCGCCACCACGTCATCCAAAGCGGCAAGTTCCACGCTGTCGGCTAATGGCGGCGCGTCGCCGCCTTCGCTCGACGAGTGAATTATGGCTAGCGCAAGCTCTGAACAAGCTGGCCGCTTGCCCACGGCAGCGCAGGAGGGCCTCTTCAAAACAGTGCCAGGCGCCTCGCCAGCGCACGAAGGCTGCTTGCCAACATCAGCGGGCGCCTCGCCAGCGCACGCAGGCTTCTTGCCAACCTCAGCGCAAGCAGGCTTCTTGACGGGGCCGTTCCTGGCTGTCTTCTTCGGAACTGGCAGCGGCAGCGGCCTGCGATGATAGGCCCAAACGCGCGTGAGATCCTCGTGGATGGGAGGGGGGGGGGGATTGTTTGTTTTAAACCAGTGATTGTTTGCATTGTTAAACAGTCGTGTTTCAAGTGCAACGCCCAGGGGCCTCAGGAGGCTAAAAGGTCACGTAGGGCCTTCACGGACGATGCAACAACCACAGCTGCCACTCACGTGCCAGGCACACTTAGAGCCTGTAAACCAGCAACAATATTGGCGATGGGGCGGAAGGGGTGAGGGGGTGGCATCTGGCAGAAGAAGGTTGGCGATAGAGTTGAGTTATGCAGCAGTGGTGGTTGGAAAGGGGAGGGCGGCCGCGCCTCCGCACCCAATCCCACCCCCCTCGGCTCCTCCTCCACCCACCCGCCCCCGCTGGCAGGGCAACGACGCCAGCCTGCTGGCAACCGCGACTGCGCGACAGATGGCACGCGACGGGGACGAGCACCTGTCACCGACATCACGGTGCTGGGGGGGGGAGGGGAGGGGGGAAAGATTGTGACTGGTCCAAGGGGAGGTCGCACTCCAATTTCGACAGGGGCCCTCGGGGGGCCCAGCCACGGAGAGCTCACGTGGTCGGCCACGTGGGGCCACGCGGCGGCCCACGTGGCCCAGAAATTAAGTGCGACCTCCTCATGGGAGAAAACTCTGGCCCAAGGAGATGTGGCACTCGAATTCCTGCTGGAGCCCTGGGGGGCCCCAGCCACGGAGAGCCCGCGCGGTGGACCACGTGGGGCCACGCGGCGGCCCACGTGACTCAGAACTAGAGTGCGACCTCCCCTTGGGGGGGGGGGGGGGGATGCTCTGCCCCAAGGGGAGGTCGCGTTCAAATTTCGGCAGGGGCTCTGGAAGGCCCGAGCCACGTAGTCTGGAAGGACAACGTGGGTGACCACGTGGTCCCACGTGGTCGGCCACGTAGTCCTCCGCGGACAGCTGCGCGGCCCCCCGCGATGCACCGCGTGGCCCCACGTGGCCAACGCATGCAAAGTATTCCCATGGGGCCCTGTTCGAAAAAATCATTTGGTTGCCCGCGGCCTATGTTCGGCGATAGAATCGGCGCCGATGTTCTTGTTAGGGATCAGTGTCTGGTACGTGGAGCCATCCTTCCAGTGGGCAACTACGAAACCATCATCCCCACATTTGAGATCGCCCTTGATAGCGATGCCGCTGGACATCCGCTTGAATACTTTCCCACCTGTGATTTCGTAATCTACTGTAATTTCGTCCTCGGAAGATATCTCGAGAACCTCATCGCTACTAGTTTCGCCATCTGGTTCTTCACCCCTGAAGAATGGAAACGGGTTCACTGATTTCTTGGCTCTCTTTGGGGGGCCGCCAACGGCCGAACGCTCGTATTCGATCAATTCGTAAATATCTCTCAGATCTTTCGGGTGCTCGAGCGCATGCTTCCTCGCAAAATCATCCCCCTGTTTCATGGTGCCAGCCTGGTACTGATCAAAGCTCAGTCGGATGTGGGCGAGCATAGTTCTGTATGAGTACGCGATTAATGCCACAACGTCAGCTGGTGGCTTCAACAACTTCCGAGATAGCTTCACCAACTCTTTCTGGTTGGGGCCATCGCTGACAAGCCGTGCAACTGCTGAGTCCATATCAGATTGCGCAAAGTAACCGCCTCTCTTGTCGAGCGAAATCAATCCGCTCAGCGATGGCGTCATCCATTGGAGGTACGTAACATTCACATGCTTTTTGAAGTCCGTGGAAGTGTAGAGCCCTTCCTTGAAAATTGCGGGAAGAGTGAAGGCAACCATCTTTGATATCTCCCCAGGGGTATCCACATCGTGCCTCCAACAGGAAACGCGACTCCGCTTCGGCATATCGGTATCGGAAACAATGTGCTGAGCTAAATGCCAATGGTCAGTCGTCATCGTCGCTGCCCCCCGCTCCCGCCGAGGCGTTTCCGACTCCGACGCCGACGACGGCCATGGCGCGGAGGGAGAGGGGGGCGGGGGGAGGTGAGGAGCATTGGAGGGGAGGAGCATTAGTGCGTGAACCCAGACATTCCCCCACTAGACCCCACAGAGACCCCAGAAGACCTCAAATGATCCCACTGGGCCTAAGAGACCACAGTGATACCCCAGAAGACCTAAGAGACCCCACAGCTACCCCTGGATGCCCCATGCGCCTCAAGAGACCTCAAGGACGCCCCAAGACCACATGGCCTTCACGGAAGCCTTGAGCCGAACCATCGGGGGCCTCATGCAAAGTAATATTGGCCGCATGCTGTTTCGATGCAAGTGCTGAAAAATATGCAGCACTGATAAGTGCTGCATATTGTTCAACTTTATCATGTATGTTATTGTTCCCCTCATTTGCATTTGTTTGTATGTGCGTGTTTCTGTTTATGTGATTGCTGTAGTTGCTGGCACGGCAGTGTTTCTGCAATGTTCTTGGTCTCCTCATTTCTGCGATTGCAAATCAATTGTTCCCAACGCCCTGGAGCGAGCGTCAGCGAGGGGAGAAAGAAGGAGGTACTGGGGGCACGGCCCCAGGGGAAAGGGGGCACGGCCCTATGGGAAGAAAAGGGGGCACGGCCCCATGTGATAGACTAATCACTGTCCGACTGAAAAGCTGGCGAGGACACCAAAGACTGCGCCTCGTCGCCATCGCGCGGCTCAACAGGCTGCGCATCGCGAAGAGCTGGAAAAGGATTCGCCTTCGAATCCGAGCCACTGGTGCTCTGCCGACTCAAAAAACGAGGCCGCTGCACAGCGCTGCCAGCACTGCCGAGGGCCTGGCGGTGTCCGACGCCAGCAGCTGACGCCTTCGCGCCGCTGCTGGTGTCCATGGCATTGGCGCGGGCGACGGCAAGGCGGAACTCTTCTTCCTGCATGCGCTTGGCCAACTCGAAATCGCCAGTCGCCTTGCTGCCGCCACCATCGGCGACCTCCACGAACATCGGGGATGACGACGAGCTCTCGTCGACGTCGGGCCGATGCTCATCCTCCTGCGCCTCGTCGCTGCCGATGTCGGCGTCCTCCTCGGGCCGATGCTCATCCTCCTGCGCCTCGTTGCTGCCGATGTCAGCGTCGACGTCGGGCCGATGCTCATCCTCCTGCGCGTCGTCGCCCTCGGCCTCGTCGCTGCACACGTCGAGGTCGCTGCCCACGCTCCCGACGAACTCGGCCTGCTCTGACTCGAAGGCGCGACGACGATCGAGGACAGCAGCTGCAGCATCGGCGCCTGCAGCCCGAGGACTCCACGATCGGGATCTCGATCTCGAGCGAGCCTGCCATGAGGAGGTGACGCTTGGACGAGGATGGGCTCGGGGGGGAAGCAATGCGAAAAACGCAATAACTAGCAAAGCAAATTCGGTGAATGGGGGGGCTTGGGGAGGACTGAAGGTAGAGGAGGGAGAAGGAGCAGGACTGATTCTAGCCTCCTGGCCAGAACACTCGCGGCCCATCCTGGCGCTCGAACTCGGCGCCCGCTGGGCTGGGGACCAGGCGCCCGCTGGGGCTCCAGAAGAAACTCTGAGCCTTCAAATGGCGAGCGACGGGGGGAACGAGAAGCGTGAGCC